AGCTATTACAAAACCTACCAAATAACAAGGCCAATCATTCTAATAATGACCTCATTTAATGACTCAAAGATTGCCTTGAGTGGGATCCCTCTGTCTCCAGTCCTTCCAAGAACAATGCCAAAAACTATCGAGAAAATTAACACCCCAAGCATGTTCACTCCCCCATCGGGATCTACCATTTGTCCTGACGGGATGGTTTTYGAACCTTGAGTTATGTTTCTCACAGTGGATATGTTGTGGGTRCCATTGAAGATGATTTTYAAGAGTGAAAGATGTGATGCATTCATCTTAGAAATGTCTTTAGTTGTGTTTGTGGTTGTAATAATGGGCTCACCCTCCATRTATTTTGTTCTTTTCTGAAAAAAAAAATATATATATATATTAGACTGATTCCATAAGTTGCAGTTTCCGTTYGTCGGTTTGAATTCTAACTTYAACTAGCATCTGTCTGGGAGCAGAAAAAAAAGTGACCAGACAGACTGGTGGAATCAGTCTAATTTTATATATACTTGAAATAAGAGTAAAAAAGATCATAATGTCTGCATATTGTTGTATATGATAAATAATTCATATAATAAAATATAGTTAATAAAGAAACAAAATGATTATGAACATGTGGGGGGATAAATAAATGGATAAAAAAAACTGAAAAATAAAGGTCGGGAATATGGGAATGGCTACGAAAGTGAAAATAATAAATAAATAATATATAAATAAAGAAATAAGTAAAAAATGAATAAAGAAATAAATGAACTGATAAATAAAAGGGTAATTAAATGAATGACTAAAAAAAGATCTAAAATAAACGAACAAATTGATAATGATTAATGAATAGATATATAATTAAAAATCATGTYCAATGGATTAATAATAAATAATAATAAAGAAGACATAAGAATACAACGTGTAAGAAATTTTACCTTTGAAAACATSGCTGCTATGATATTGCTTGGAAAACACGACCTATACAATACATAAAATATTCCATATGAATATTACTTTAATCCATGCATGATTTCCTTTGTCTACATATTRAATTGAGCGTTATTAATCTACATATTTATACAAACAATCTGTTCAACTGTACGGTTCAGATAGAATAGCTTCAGATGAAATGTAAACATGGAGCTGACAAGACAAAATTCTAAACGACAATGAACTGAACACGAGTCTGTTTAATATTAATACACAGATAGTAGGGGGATTAGTCATAATTTTGCACCTTAACAGATAAATAAAGATTTTAATAGTCTGTTTATCAAATATAATGAACAGCAAAGAGAAATGCGTAGAGACATCTATGAAATGTCAACAGCAATCTTTGAATTAAATTTATAACGTAAACAATGACAGAAAGATCACAGGGATTAAGAATCATTCAAATTAATTATCTCAAAAGGCATTGAATTTTAGAATATGGAGTCTGTACTTTGGATCATAAACCGAATAAATGTGTTTTGTAYTATGACCTTACCTTATGAGGTCCAAGAACGCGTCCAGAGAACGATACTCCATTGGAGTTGTTTTAAGTCGACCTTTAAAATCTCCTTGAGATTCCCCTGGTCTGATGGAAACGACAAGAACAATCCCTAATACTGCAGCGAGAATAGTAGTTGTAAAATAGTAGGCAATAGCTCGGCGTGCGATCCTGTTCGACGCCTTTGAATCTAAAGCTGCCAGAGCACAGATCAAGCTAGCAATGATCAATGGTAACACCAACATTTTCAGCATATTCATGAGAATTTCGCCTGGAAATCCGAGAAGCATAAGGAAGGTAGCTTTCTCTTCTTGGTCCTTGATTCGTCCTACATGACCATTGAGAAATATACCAATAACAAGTCCGAAACCAACTCCAACGGTGATTAAAAACAGCAGAAAGTTCGAGCGAATTCGATGCCAACATTTTGAGCAAAACGTAGAACACGAGTTTTTCCCCTCGCTTTTATTCATGCTTTCATCCAAAAATGAAGTCTTCATCAGATAGTGYGAGTCGTACTGCCCAGCCTAGAAAACAAACATCATTAAAATCTACTGCAAAATRAGGCTGAAAAGGGCATTCCCATTAGCTGACTGCATGGGGTCGCACAGCCTTTAACTAGTATCGATTTACATTTGACGGCTAATCATGCTAAATGGCTTTCTCGAAACCTTTAATTTTTTTCCACCGGCGGTGTTTTGATTGCTGCTGAATCCGGATCARAGTTCGGTAATTATGGCAGCRAACTCGAGATAGCAGTRTTTTATATTATCTATGCAATAAYATTTAAAGAGTGAAACATCTCATCTTTCGCGCTATCACCCATAGTAGATCTGCTGAAATGTTATGTCACTTGAAGCAACGTGATTGGCTGAAAATTGAAGGGTGAATTTCTTCTGGAATTAGCATTTTGCAAGATGGAGTTCAACATYTTATTCAAAACATAATATTCTAATTTTGTGCAAAAATAATGTTACACAATTGCTTGGACAACATTTAGATAAGATAGACCTTAACGATTTTGGATTTTGGATTCTGATGATCAGCCTTGAACAAGAAGTAAAATGTCATTTGAGCATTCCGCGAGTGAAGATATTTTCCATATAAAAATGCTTTTTCTCTCCTAGCTACCGATCAAAGATAAGTGAAATTCTGCCAAATCTCAATAGTGACAGTAATGTTGAAATACAGTCAGTTTGAACTATATTCTTGAACAGAACGCTAAAAGATGATTTGACATTAGGAAATGGAACCGCTAGACCGATAGGCATAGCTAAGGCACATATTTGAAGTCGCTTTAAAATTAATTTTCTGCGATTTTTTTTTCACAACGCCCGATTAAGAAACATTTCAAGATATCGGTCTACTAACCTTTTCAATGAAGACATTCCATCTTGCATTAGAAATCTCAAAAATGGTAGAATATCTGGCCATTTTTAKRTAAGACGCTAGTAGCAATCCCCTCRAGGAGTGTCGRAAAATTCGAAGTATATTTTATAGTCGATATGAACGGCTGTRAACATCCATTCTAGGGTAAAAACTGTGGGAGAGCTTTCGGTCAATGAATAATCTTACATCCGGGGTGAGATCATCGAAATAATGAAGGCACCAAAACATTGGCTCCCAATGACATCTAAGTTATGTCGTACGATAGCCATCTCCCCATAAAATACTCATATGTATTACAGTAGACGTTTCACTGCAGTAATTACTGTTTTAGCATTTTTCATGTAAATTCGTTTTCTAATCTTGATTTGTAAGTATTTCATTAGAATTCAAGGACGTAGTATTCCCCTAACCGCATTTTTAAATGATTAAAATCATTCAATAAAAACATCCAATAAAATACTTATACAATAGAGTATCACAATAGAGTTTTAGAGATATTTTTTCGATGTTTTACTAAAATTACTGCTTAACATTTCGTGTAAATTCGTGTTTAAAATCCGTGTTMTAAACATGATTTTTTTAAAGAGTTCAAGTGCAAGCATTCCAACTGAACTTCACRTTCAATTAAAACGAAGATTTCTACAATCTACTTTGTCATCAATATTTTCCCGTTGGCCAATGGGAATTGGATTTTGTTTTATACTKTGAATTCGCAAAGCAATCTTTCAGAAGTGATGGGTCTTTGCGTTTTATACTTGCTGATTATTTTATTTATAATTGATTAGTGAGGCTCAGTCTGTGTCATAATTTTATAAAACCACAAACGTTCAAGTCATCCAGTCCATCCGTTTGCAGTCGACAGCTGGTTAATATTCAACATTTTTKGCGCATTTATAACTTTTTCATTCGGGAAAAAAATGAAAATTAATCTCAGGCATGTTTTTCGAAGTGTATGCGTTCATCCTGGTTCACACTTGTCGGAATCGGAGATGATAAAGTTCAATACTTGCCATTAATAAAATTAAAATGCGAAACATTTATTTCAAACCCCCTGAATGTCAATATATGCCGATTATTTTATGGCGGGATGTGCTGTAAAATCCCGGAGTTCAGGCCTCAGCCAAAAACTCATCCACACACTAAAATGAATTAAATTATCGTCTGGGAGCTCCAAATTCCTTGAGATAAATTCACCTTGGCTCGGAAAGCTTGACTTTTGTACGCAGAGGCCGGCTTGATTCTTTTTGGTTGCTGGCCGAAAAACTGGGTTTTGACATAGGATAAGAAGTTGGCGTTCGCATTCTCAAACAATTGGCAAACAATTTACCATTGATTGGCTCTATGTTAGACACCTCAATCGAACGCTTGGTCCAAAAATAGGTAACTGGTATTTTTCTTTATGATTCAGCTGTAAARCAACTGAAGATACATTTTAACACCGTKAAAAGTARGTGAAATAACTTTTTGTGGTATAATGCGAGTTTCCATCTTTTTAAATATTCTCAGTGAAGATCCTGGTAAAAAGACAGCTGCTGTATCTTGCTGGCTTCCTGGAAATGTTTACGAACTTTTTACTTCATTGTTTTGGCAAAACGTGAAAAGTTATGTAACTACTTGTTTTTATCATTCGAATATACACCCACGTAAAATACTCGTTTGCAATTGGCTGATGGCGGCGAATATTTTTCTCAATCTGTACCATAAAAGTCTATCCCAGCGTGCGTTGCGGCTGTGTATGTTTTTTTCAGAATGCTCGATGAATTAATGAAAAATACCCCTTGTGTTTGGTGAAAATGACTKAATAACTCGATGTGCAACGCGCTTGTGGTGGAATTTCTAACCATACACCTAGATTCATTGCGTGCAGAGTGCAGATTCGAAWTATGCAACTATAAATGATTCTGCTAAGCTTCCTGCCGATTTGTTATTATGGTGTCATTAACTACAACTACCAGAATGCTTTGCCAACTTTCTTTTGAATTGCAATTAGTGCCAATTGTTTTATTAATCTCCAAGTGGATTAAAAATCTGAATAACAATGTAACTGCCGCAAGGCTCTCTGGTAGTTGTAGTAAAGTTACGCCATTATGCTAAGCTTTCTGTAAATGTTGATCAATTTTCACTTCATGTTTTTGGCAAAACGTGTTCTGAAGACAAGTTTGTAGTCCTGTATATAGATGTGGACTGTAATGTTAAATTATAACTCTCCAATTTTTATCTTTCTTGTACCTTCAAACAGCACGGCTGTTGTCTAATGTATTAGGAAGTAATAGACTAAGCGTTGCCTTCCAATTGTCCGTCCGAGTGTATCTTGAATGCTACCAAGACGTTGGTCTCGTATTATCAAAAGTAGCAATTATAAAATAAAGAGAACAAAAGCCATTGTGTCGTTCAAGTTTTTTGATAAAACGCTGCCAACCTGCCTGTTTAATTCAGTTTGAGTGACCTAAATACGTAGAACGCACCTCATCATAGCTTGACATGGCAAATAACTCTACCAGTTTCGTCGATATTAGTAGAGGACACGCTGTCTGCTTCATGTCGGTACCGACATTTGATCCCTATGACACGATAAATCGTCCAGATTCTATTTACCCAAATTGGGCCTTTCTCGCTACGCTCAATGGCATTGCCTCCTTACCGACTGCCTTTATCAACGCCTTGATCATATGGGTAGTGGTCGAGAATAAAAATCTAAGATCGTCAGCATTCAACGTTTTGCTGGCWTCCTTAGCAGTGACAGATTTCCTGGTAGGATTGTTGATCGAACCGACATACTGTCTCTTACTGGCATGTTTGCTGAATGAGTGTTATTCTCCTTGTCAATTCACTGCGTATGTTTTGCTAACACTGGCTTGCTGTGGTACGACAGTGGTGACCTTTGCGATTGCCACTGCTGAGCGGTATTTAGCCATAGAACACCCGAACTTTTACCTTAATAACGTTACAGGAAAAAGAGTCTTGATAGCAACGATGATTTTCTGGGCAGCAACGCTAGGAATTTCGATAGCGTGCAGCACTTTTATGAACAAAAACCATCCCCATCTTGCGAAAGTCCCTTTCATGGTAGTCATAAGTGTTAGTGTTTTGATTATTTTGTACTGTACATCCAAAGTGCAGCTGACAGCTTATCGTCAGAGAAAAGACATCGCCCATCAGCAAGAATCAACTCAACAGCCAGACAAACACCAGCAACAAGAGAATCGACTCGTGGAATACAAGAAAGTGTCCATGACTGTCACGATTGTGGTTATGTCATTTCTCTTTTACATGCCTTTAATTATAACCACTGTTATAGAAGCCTTACGTAAAGATGTCAGTCGCGATTTCAAGTACCACGCAGTCTTTGTTTGTCTAACGTTTGTACATCTCCAGTCTCTCATCATCCCAATCATTCTTTCTCTGCGTCTGTCCTACATTCGTGAAGGCATCAAAAACAAACTTGTTTGCTTTACGGGGAACTGATTACTGTACTAGTTTGGGATATGCATGCATGTAGAAAACACTAATTAATGAAGGAAAGAGCCGTGAAAGTWATATCCCGTGGATAACAACCATGGCAAGTTTTATTATTGTAACGGCTTACTAGAGCCGACCATCCCCATGATAGAAGGCTCAGCAAACGCCCARCAGCAGGAATCAGTTTAACATCCAGATGAAAAGCAAGAACAGGACTGACATGAACGATTCAAGGAGTACAAGCAAATTTTCAAGATGACGATGTAAGTGATTGTAGTTACAGTGATAGAGCTCGTGAAGGAAAAAGACGYCATGAGCGCTTTTCAGCATATCGTGTAAATATAAGATTTCTAGATCTCCAGTCTCTAATCAACCTGAGTCATCATGACTAACATAACTAACATCAGACGCTTTAAACTAAAAACTCAGCTGTTAAAAGATTACCAAGAAAACTAGTTGCAAATAGTTTATATATAATTTTTAATTTATTAATGAATCATCGATATAGAGGATATTACATGGGCGCACGGAGTTAGGGATTTTATCTTCGAGTGCTAAAAATAACACTCGAGAGTGAGAGATTTTCAACACGAGAAGATAAAGTTCGTATCTTCAARCGACCATGTGATATTTTGTATAGAAATATATATGAAAGCAAATTATGTCGTTTAAATACCTTATTTTACTTGCACTTATATAGAAACCTAGAATGAAAATAACAATGTTTCGAAAGCTGAGAGAAATATAGGTATTTCATAGATAATCATATAAAATCATTTCATCCTTATTAACAGTCGTTCACTTGTGTAAATTAATATATAAAGGACATATATTTCGTACCAATCTTCCACGTCATTGTTCCCGTAAAACGCTTTTTGAGAAGCAATAGATCAGTTATTCAATGGAAAACATATGTTCCATTTTTTCCCATACATTTTAAACAGTGTGTGTAAACGCTTTGTCTAAGAAATATAAAACGGCGCGCGTGTCTCTGTCCTCTGATATAAACACGGTGGGAATTCGAAAAACACGAACTATATTTATAAAATTTTTGATGTATAGCGCGCGCTCTGATTGGCTGACGACCGTGTTTCAAACTGAGTTAATATAAGTTATATCAGAGGACAGAGACACGGCTTACCGGCAAAATTTGCTTTTCGCTCGAAACATTTTATAAAAGAAATATAAAACGGCCGCTCTTGTGTCTCTGTCCTCTGATATAAACACGGTGGGAGTTGAAAAACAGTCCGGAAAACACTCGAGAAGCAAGAGAAACACTCGCTACGCTCGTGTTCCTAAGCTTGCTTCTCGTGTTTTTCGAACTCCCACCGTGTTGATATCAGAAGACACGCGCGCCTTTTTATATTTCTTAAATATGAAATGAAATTTAAGGGAGCAGCTATGTCCTTTATAGTATGGAAATTTTGATGGTTTTTATAATCTTTGAAATCGCAGTAAAATGTCAAAGAAAACCATGTAAATTCCCTGTATTTTTTATTCGAGCTATGTAAATTTAATCAGTATAATACAGAAAGCGATTATTTTTTTTATAATCCCGTTTTATGGTTAACATGGAAGCTTTATCCTTTGATACATGTGGATATGGGATCGAGTACAAGATGCGATTAATGTCCACGTATTTTAATCTAAATAGCATTATATTGAAGGACAGTAGCAACAAAAAGGAACAAAGAAAATTCGTCAATCAGGTTTTCTAAAGATGTTTTAACTAATCCATGGAATCCCAGCTGCTCTTGACCGGGGTTTAATTGCAGGATCCCGTTTTGGTTTCATCGTCATGTTGGATGGCAGCAAACCTTCGCAAAAAGGTGGGCTGACATAAGAGTTGTACATAATTAGTCGTAGTACACTAGCATCATAAATTCTAAGGTCAATTTTGGCAATATTTTTCTAAATCATAAAGGACATCAAGAATACAAGCGATGGACCATGCTTGAGCTGGGCATCCATCATGGCAAGGCTCTCCCCCGGCGTTGGTTAACTCAGGTATGCTTTTCCAGGGGGAGGCATTTATGTGTTCTTTGTGTAGAGCTAGAATCCTCCGTACTTTGGTAATTGTCTGGGCAAGGASATCTTGTTCTTGTAGTATTTTGGCAAAATGAAGKCGTGCCCTTAAAAATGGTCCRATACACCACACCCACTCCTGAAAAGTTAACAGAAAAAACTTTAYCAGAACTATTGACAAYGTAGCGTTTTTTCTAAAGGTTCRTGGWTAACCGGCATTCAATGAGGTCGTGTTTTAGATTTTATATGGAAAATGAGGTGTCTTCACATGCCTAGTTGCAATCCGTTTGCATCCGTCGGTTTTAAGATTGAATCCTACAACATAAAGGGATGATAAAGTGCACATTTTTGCATATGTTAAAGATTTATTTTCAAACAATAGAAAAACTCGCAAGGAAAGTCGGTCCACCATGGCAGTAGTGGACGGAGGAGATTTGAGGTCGAATATATGTATTGTAGATCGCATGATTGTATTAAGTTTCATTGTAAAAAAAAAAGATCACCCACCGGCCCTTGATGATAACTAAACCCTTTAGAACTCTTGTATGAAGTCGAATCGGTACCATTGTCATAATTACCATCATAGGCCCAATCCCTGCAGATAGAGTAACAGGCAMTTAAACATAACTAAATAATTAGCCATAGAAGAGTTTKCGCGAAGACAAATGYWTASTGTGCTACCTGWCGCACGCTGACCGTTACGAGATCAAGTTTACGATACATTTTGCACAGTAACATCCAAGCTAAACCATCGGTCCAAAGCAGCTGGTAAAACTGCATTAGAAGGTAATAAAGTCCCAAATAACCAGTCCATTGGCCCTTCTTTTCTGTGGTGCGCGACAATCAAATCTGAGCCTATCAGGGCGCTGTGAGACACGTCTATATTTCGACTTATAAAACTCATTAATATTCATAAGGCAAAACACAATAGAAATCATAGCCCATGAAGAGAGTTGTATATTACATACAGATTTCTTGTTCATTTGCATAAACTTTAACTCTGATTTTCTCGGTCAGATTGATTTTTTTTTTCAAAAGTTTCTTTAAAACCTGAGCTAGTTTACCTCAACGTTTCATAAGTAATATACAATATTCGCGGGCGATCTGTATGAGGTTTAAAACAGCTCGCTTTCAGCTCGCTGTTTTAAATCCTCATACAGATCGCCCGCTCATATTGTATATATTACTTACAAAATATATTTGTACCACGTCTTAGTGAAGGCGATATGGAATAAGAGAGATGAGATGAGAGCGATGCAAGGTAAGAAACACAAAGYGTGACACAGTTTTGAAACATAAATCGGGCTAAGAAATAGAAATACAAATAAAGGGATCCGCGACTTACTGAGGGTCAAGTGTTGCCACGCCCAGAGGACCAAGTAGAACATCTTCGACCACGTCTAATGCTTTCCATGCACGTTCAGGAGTAAACATCTCGGGTGCCTAATATTAAGGAAAGAATGAATGAACTAAGATTCCTTGACCGAGTACTAATCATGATTTTCGTCTTGTGACCCTATCAATATCAAGTCACTTACCACTGTCATAGCCACGCAAAAATTGGGTCTAAGTTGATAATTAGCAAACTGATGACTTGCACGAACGGAATCTTTGTATATACCACGTCTGTGGACCAGGGACGCCTTCTCACCCTCTAGGGAGGGGTCAGGATTGTCTGAGRTCCAGAAATGTTTCTCAAAGTTCGAATCCAGCTTTGCGTTCCATTCTGCGTATGTCAAACCAACCGYGAAGCCTAGACGAACAATAGAATATAACTTATGTGAGTGGATGGTGATTTTCGCACAGAAATACGTCTGATATATGGTCGCCTATCTCTTACCATCGTATATCTTTGAAACTCCRGAATATGGAAACTTCTTCGACTTGCTCAACTCTGCCAGCCATCGAACCGTTGATTTACAGAGACCTATGATCTCGACTGCAGTTCCATCTCTACATAAAACATTCACTAAGTTAATTATAGGAACATTACARGGCCATGCACCACCAACAGGGATCAGCAGTTATAAACAAACCTTGGAGTGGCCGGTACGCCAGCATTTCCAGCCAAAGTTGACTCCCCAACTTTATCCATCCATGTCCCAGCATTCCATTCGTTTCCACCAAACACGAACCCAGTGCTATCGTCTACACCGATAGACAAGTTGAAACCCTGATCTTTCATATTGGAATCGAGTCCAGGCCCAGCTCCCCTCTCTCGGAATTGGACGCCGACAAAATGACGCTGAATTGCTTGTTGCATGACGTCATGAAGGGGCTTCTCCTTTAAACCAAAGTAGAAAGCATATTAATTGACAAGGAATCGATAATGACATATTCTTGAAGAACATTTTATAAAATTGGTAAAATCTCTCACCACTTTCCCAGGCGGAATTGCCTCAGAGTCATCGGTAGGAAATATRCAYGAGACTTTGTCTTTAAGGATGTTTAGACCATCAGGGACAATGTTGCAGTAATCTTGGATAGATTGAAGCCACCACCAGACTGCATCGCGACAGTTGTATCKTGGCTTTTTTCCGCAATCGAGGAGATTGGGAATGAGTCCGTGACGTAAGCAGCCAGCGAAAGCAAGGATATGATGCCTGATAAATTCAGTTAATGAATTCAATTTAATTATTTCAAAGCCTGTTTGAATTATTWTTTTATCTTCCTTCCCCCTTCTCATTTGTATCCCCCAACATACCTTGCATCAGCAAACCGACCAGTTGTCAGCATTAATCCTCTTAATGATATAAAAGTATCCCTGCCCCAACACCTCATAAATCCGGTCGAGAAATGAGGCAGTCCGGCCGCCATTGACATCAAGGTTGGTATGTCGGATCCTGACCTGGGACCATGTTGCAATGAGGGGGATAAGGTAGGGAGGTTAGCTGAGCGCGTCAGGCCAATAAATTGAACTGAGCCTAACGACAGTGACTTGACAAAAGATGACCCTTCTTGGACAAATCTGAAACAAGAAAAATCCCTTAGATTTCTAGTAAAATTTCATAGAATATGTTACATTTGCTGGGCTTTTACCAATTTTGTGCTTCTTGGTGAGCCACACTTTTGGGGCGAAGGAGCCGGAGAAAAAGGGCTTCAGAGCACGCGAGAGAAACAACCCAAACGCACATAAATATCGAATGACATTAAGGGAGACTTAATGAGGCGACGACGAACGTATCAGCGCGCTAACAAATCAGGCAACCTTTTCAATGAATATAACAAAAGAAAGTACAATATTTTTAGACGTCAAGAGATGCTAAGCGCACACAAAACTGGAAATAAAGCAAATACTAATATATATACAAACAAAATGGGAACAAAGTAATGTGTGCCCTTACTTCGACATGTGGGCCCATGCCCTCTTCAAAACCAAGAGATATAGAGGCGTGATAATGGCATCAAAGTAACAAGGTACAAGATAACGAGGGCACTCCTTGACAAGGCTGAATGCTTTATCTAGCCACACTGCCAACTAAAGACAAAAAATACAAGAAAATAGTCAAACTGATTTACGAAGGTATGATTCTTTCTTTTTCTTATGACGTCATTCTTGTTTTGTCGAAAGGCATGGTATTGATCAGAAAATTAAGATGCTGTTGTTGTCCTATAAAAGCTATAGAGGATGCAGCTTAATTTTGAATTGCCCGTTGTCCGTTCTCAAGAATATTTTAGCGTAGCATACAATAAAATGTCTCCATACTAAAGGCAAAGACTTGTCTAGGAAAGAAGAAAGTCGGCTTCAGCTTGTACTTTCGTCAATCCCATAGTGCATCGCGTTGAATTTGACATGACGTCATAAGAAAAGTGATGCTTACAGGTCTTGTGCCATGGACGTCCATTAGTCTATTGACGACGTAATCCATCATCCAGTTGCCTTCCCGTAGGTTTCTACAGATTGGATGGGCGAGGTCGTTGTTCTGTCGGACRTCAGTAAGAACCGATAGAAATCCTAATGAAACGAAATAGTGGATCGGCTGTTAGGGGATTGTAAACCATTGCCCGGGCCATTGCCACCAATTAAGGAAACAATCTCCTGTGATGTACCATTCTCGTACACAAACCCTCCTTCATCGGAGCCTCTTGGAAACCCTAACATTTCAAACGCCGCTGTAAATCATAACGGACGATGGAAACTAGCAACGTGATTTCTAGAGGTTTCCTAGAGCTTCCAATGGGAGGGATGAGGATCTGGKCACGAGACTGACAATGGATCATGCATATATCATAGTGATTTGTATAGATGAAACACCTTACCTTGAAGGCCACAGTAAGTCAATGCCCCATAGTCTGGTATGGTATATACTCCCCCACCCTTGCCATCATCAGCTTCCTCGTTATGACATCGATAAAGAACACGATTCAAGTCGGATAAAGACAGGTTATTCAAGATGGATACCAAATTTTTAACGGAATCACTGCTTTCTTTGTTGGCGGTTTTGTTGCCATAAAGCTCGCACGAAAGCGACCTATAAAATAGATAAAAAGGATTGCTTTCATTTTGTTCCCTTTTTTTCTTCGGTCATTTAAACAAAGAAACCCGAGTAATTATGCGAGAAGAGGTCGGGACTCCAGTCAATGGTTTTCAGTCGCGTGGAGCTACGAATAGTATCAGTAGTCAACATGTTTTGAGACTGCTCAGTACACGTTTTGTTTATCATATCTGCAGCAATAAAACTTGTCACAATGCAATAGTGTATGATAATATTACTTTACCGTAGTTGACCCAATGCTTTGGTAACTTTCGGTTCCATAACAACTTGAAATGCGATAACACTTCCAGGAGAGAAGTGATCAAAAAATACTTCACACATGTTGGCTCCTTCTCGTCGTACTATTCTGCAAGTCTGTTTATTATATTATATTAACATATCAGTTATAAACTTGATATTTTACAGTCCTGTCCCCTCGTTAAGTCATGCGAAGTTCAGCGTGATGCACCATGGGATTGACAAAGATACAAACTGAAGTCATATCATGCCGTGCGTCGTTAATTTAAATAATAATAATCAGTTTAATTTTGTATGAAAATTTCGTTATTCATAGCTTTTATAAGATATCCGCCTCAAATTTCTATCAATACCATGATGCACTTCGTGAGGTCAACTTGACGTCATWAGAGCAGAGGACTGTTATTAATATTTCACTGAGATGCAGCTAACTCAAAAAAGGTTGTCAAAGACAGAAGGAAATGGATAAAGAGATTCCATGACTGGAAGGAATTATGGGTAAGGAGTGTCAATGATATGACAATATCTAAGACAACAATATTTTTCAAGTGACAAGTAGCTGTCATCCTTTACCAATTACTACTGTCAGGAATGACATACGCTTGGACCCTATTGGAGATGCACCTCTATCTGGGAGACAAATCAATGGAGTTAAGTCCCAAGAGAGTGGCAACTATCTCCTTTGTACCCCAGATGAAGTTTCTTTGACATCACATGTAAAGGAGTCGATACCTATATACTATATACCTATATACTACCTTCGATTGACCAATAGGAACATTTTCCTGCATCATTACTTCATGCGACTCGAGGCCATTGATAAACTTATTGTCTTTTTCAAACGTCTTGACGTCATCTTTCCTGAACAACATGGCTTCGAAAATCACTTCTTCAATATCGCCTGTAAAAGATACATTTGGAAACATTTATCATCTTCTGAATTGTAACGAGTCAAACAGGGATTTAAGAGATTATTTTAATGGATATTAACGTGTCGTTCGCGCGGATTGCGTGTGTTTTCTTATTTTTGCTGTTAATGGTCCTTCCCTTTCATTGCTGTTAATGGTCCTTCCCTTTAGTGATGTTGGCGGGATGCACCATGAGATTGTGTAGGTATCTCCTTTAATGCTTTCCAAAGCATCCGCGATGACCAATAACATTAATTTCGCAAAGTAACGAAATCTTGACACATTCATCAATACCATGATGCACTTCGCCCAAACACACATGACGTCATTAGGCTAGACGAACATTCCTTACCAGGTATAGTGAGAGGAGGAATTCCATGCATCTTGACCGTCATATTTGCCTTTGTTGGTAGCAAATGTTCTGGTGGTGGCTGAAATGCCGAGTGAGCGACTAGGACTACAGTTTTACGTTTATCTGGACAGTGACGCGTGATGGCATGGACGTCGCTATGAATCTGGTCCACGTAAACCTGCAATAGTAATTCTGGTCTTAGTTTCAGTGGTTCAGGTACTATATAGAGCCCAATGGATTGCTAGCTGTAAGTTTATCATTTCTCATTGTGCGCTTTGTTTGTTTTTTCTTTCTTTTTTAACTCGGAGATTGCGTTATCAATCGAAGAGTTACTGTACGTAGGTGAACGATCTGTCACTTACTTTCCTGTAAACTGCCCTTGTTGCTATAGTAAGTATGAGCTCAAGTATGAGGTCATATTTATTAACGTCAATTTGTGAATTCGTCATCACGGTCTTCCTGTGCATTTTTTTACCTGTGAGTAACCCTCTAGTCCCAGTCTCTTGTGTAGCTGATTGATCGCCCGTTTTGCCGGCACGATGCCCGACGTAGGTGTAACAAAGGCCTCTGAAGGCAATTTCGAGTTTTTGTTTGGCCAAGACTTGTATAGTCGCTCCTCTTTCACAACATGAATCTATAAGGCATATCATTCTATACTATTATCACAATTTATATGCTTTGCTCTGCGTCTCTTGCTCTTAGCTTTGCTTTACGCATTTTCGTTGCTTTGTATCATTGTCGTTTGTTTTGCATTATTTTGTGCTGTGTCGTGCGCTACTCTTTGTTATTTTATTTCAATGAGCTAATTTGTGCTTTTCGCAGTAGTTTGGCGTTGTTTTGCACAGTTTTTCTTTGATTTACTTTGTTTTGCGTTGTTTCGTGGCTTTACAGTGCGCAATTTTGCGTTAATCTGTTGTGCTGTGCATTGCTTTTTTGTGAAGTGCCTTGTTTTACGTTTCTTTTCTTTTATTGCTTTTGACTAGTGGCGCCGGCAAAATCAGACAAAACAGCAAGCTTGAATGTTCAAGTATATCGTTACTTACATGATGTGGTACGAGTTCATCGTAACCTCGATTACTTCCCGATGCACAGCATGCCATGGACACTAAGGCAGAGCTTGCGATAGAGTCGTACACTGAACGAACCTGGKCAAAGAATGGTGTGACATATAAAATTCAACAGAACTGCGTGACAGAGAAAAATGATAAATTTTAATCGGAATGTGCTCCTATATGGTGTAACATATGCCATTGTGCTTGATATTGTGTGCGTGACATAAACGTAACGTTACCTTTATAGGATTTTCGTTGTCGTGCGTGACATCCATGTACAAAGCATGTGCRATTGCCGGTACAAACGGCTTGGTCGCTAAGGGATCCATAAAAGCTCCAACTGGGTCTCCTCCATACCGGTAGATGAGCCTACCTTCTTCATGTGCGTCATGCGCTGACATGGCCTCTGTAGCGAACAAAATTTTTCGGTTAACTACATTAGTTTTTACACGCAAACAAACGTCTTTTACATACAAAAAAAAAAGAAAAACAATAAAAAAACTGCACGATCGAGACAGYCTTACTTGCCCGTACCTCTTATAAAAGACGTTATCCCGAAACGATTCACAAATAYGTTGTCCAGAAATTCAGAACCAGTGAAAAGCTCGGCAACTACGTACAGCTCCGGGTTCTCCTGCCGCGCTGCGTCTARCATGTACTGTGAAYGAAAAACATGGTCAGTCTTGTTCCAAGCTCGTTCCCTGTCCCTTATCCCTGACMCTTCAAAAGGAAGGGCATGTAAACGAGTTTGGTYATWTCCATAAAGGGGMKGAKTGMTTTATATGAAGCCTGTGTTGTCGTCKGTCTGTTTCTTCTTGAAACTGTRGACTACCAAAGCAATCAAAAAACTCACCTCTGCAACATGTAAAGGAGTGCTGTGACAATTATCCAATCGTACACCTGCACAGAGACTAGAAAAAAACAACGGGTAAACATGTACATTATATATCAGWAGCAATGAAATTTGATAGAAGGAGTCATATGATGGCTGGTGCGAGAGATAGATGCAACACTCAGGAAATTTAAAGTTGAATGATTGATTGGTTGATTGATTAAATGATTATAAATGATTGATTGATGAATTGAATGATAGATTCGTTTGTTGGATGATTGATTGATTGGTGGGAACTAGCGGTAAACCAGTGTGAGCTGCGTCGGTGTTTCTAAAGAGACAGTTGTGTAAAAAGATGAAGTAACTTACTGACGTTTCAGACGTTTATCCTTCGTTGGAAGTAAAAGTGATTGATTGATTGATTGATTATTGTTGTTGGTGTTAATGACTGTTTACGTTGTTTTTGTTCTTTTTGGCGAGAAAAAAAGTCATTCCTTTTCATACTCACTTTGCACATAACTTTGTATACTTCAACATATGGTCCCACAAAAAAGGCGCATCCTCGGGTTTTTGACCATATCTTAGTTTAACACTGTCACCCCATGCAATCACTTCTCGTCTTAGATAAGCATTAGAATCAGGGGCTGCAAAGTCTTTCAGAGGATCACCACCAACCATCCACCCGTGATGGGCCATACAGTACTTACTATCACTAGAATCCATGATTTTTTCGTCTTCTTCTATCGAGGCAGTATCTTTATTGGGCACCATGAAGTATCTGAATGAAGATTTGCAAAGAAATATCTAGATATAAATTACTCTGCTCTACTCTATTTCAAAACGATATTTTTTTCAGTTCTCCATACCTTGTTACCAACGGGTYAGTTCGTGTAACTTTAGGGTGTTTAGGTCCATGGTCTTGTAGCCTCTCATATCGTATAGTGTTCTGGACATGACTTATCGCTGCATCAATGTGGCTATAGACGCCATTGTATTTTATATCTTCATTCATGGCGTTCAGGTGATCTTTAAATGCATCGCAGCATTGCTGTAATCGCTCTTTCTCTGAAGATACGCCCGATCTGTTTTGATRAGTGAAATTATTAAAAACAAARTTTGGCAAGGAAACGTGATAAAAAGCTGTCCTCGCACTTTTTATGTCCGCTAAAACAGTCTTTTCCTTGAAAAATAGAAGTGTATCGTTTTTACACAAACAGAAAGCATAGAAACGGCTTTAAGGACAATTGTTGTGCTGCTACAAAAAATGCCGAGGACTTTAACTCCAATGCTCACTTGTACAAAATGGCGTCACTCCCTACTTACTTTCTATATAAAGAGTTGTGTTTAAAACCGTAAAAAAAGTATGTGAAATAACTTACTGACGTTTCGGACGTTAATCATTCGTCGGAGTCTATATAAAGCACTTTTGCAAAGGAAACTAAACTACCCACCTCTCAACATTAAACAATTCCAATGCTGCTTCAATATTAACAATTGCCGCATGTCTTTCATATGACAAACTCGGACAAATCTTGAGTTTTGTAGTGTTATGTTTAGTTGGTGATTGTTTCTTGGCCTTCAATACACCTTGCCTGAATCTTTCAACTGCTTGATCCACATCAATACAGTAGAATTCCCACAGTTTTAGTGAAGGAATGAGCTCATTTCTATTGAAAATTAAAACAAAAACAAATGTTTAAATGTGTGTAATAACAATAATTACAGAAAGAATAATTCATCCAAATGTTATTATTAGTCATAACAGAAGTATTTGGCATTATTTCAATTTTGATGTAAAATACTAAAATGAAAGGATAAGAATTGAAAAAACCCTTATATTTTAGTATAGTAAAGAAAATCGACATAAAAGGTTTTAATGCAAAGTTGTACTGTCAACTCTCTCGTAAGCGACCACCTCGGGATCAGGAAAAAGTGGTTGTTACGAGAGTTGGCCGCTTACAAGAGATGGTCACTTACAAGAAAGTCATTTTTTCAGAGTTTATATGGGAAACAATTAGAATGGGAAATTTAAAAGGTGGTTGCTTAAGGTAGTTGGTCGCTTACGAGAGTGGTAGTTCTAAGAAAGTCAACTGTATTTTCTTTCTCTGGGTTTCCTTTGTCAAGAACGACTAAAGTGGGTATGGATCATTCCCCCCTCCCCTTTCCCCCAAATTTTGTTCCACYACAGGAAGCCCAGAGTCAACTGTTACTATTGTAGCCATAAACATACCTGAGTATTTCCCCAATCAAGTAAATATGATGTTCATTATCGACTTCAGGGGGGACCCCCCTCTCAGTATATTTACCATCGGCAATGTCGCAAGAGAAATGCCACAGCAGTCTATCCAATAAGAAGGCTGGCCTCAAGTGAGGTGAGTTGCTAACATTGTATGCACACTCGGGATGCTGCCACAACCACGCTGAATTGTTAGCAGTATGATTRAGTACAATGTCAACGATTGACAACATCCCCCATTCAGTTCGCATTTTATCAATGACCTTTTTGACATCATCTTGAGTGACTTTCTTCTTGGACTCAGGCTCACTAAAGAGGTGATTTAGCTCTAGTTGGTTGTACAGCGAGTAAGATGAATTGGATTCTCCCAGCTCTTGTAGTGGAGTAAAGTGAATGATATTGTAGCCTGATTCTTTCCCAATGCGTAGTCTGTCCGTCCACTGTGAGAGAGGTCCAAGGCTTTTAGATAAGACAGTCTGGAGACTGATGCAGTCTAAGGGAAGTGTTTCATTATCGTTRATGTACAGTGTTGGGTCCACAGTGAAATATCCACGCGTTTTATTCTCTTTATCAGTCCTGTTTTTGAAAGAATATTGTAAGCATAACAGACCGTGGAAGAGTAGGGACTAAGGGGCTATTAATAATAATTATAATAATAATTRTAATAATAATAATAATTTAATGTAGTAATAATATAACAATGTTTCTATTGCTGCAAAATAATCTGATGGTATTTTTGAAGTAATTATTTTATTTCCACCATGATATGAATGTCTTTTTAACCATTAACACAATGAATCAAATTTCAGGAAATAAAATTTCATTTAAAGGTGCCACAATTTTCTGAACAATACACATATAATCAATTAACTGGCTCTATCCAGCCCCTCACTCTCCCCTGTTTCCATTGCCCCCTTCCATTTTCCCTCCCTCACCTTCCATTTTCCTTTCCTCCGCTACCATAAAGGCTAAAACTTACTGATTTATTTTTCCGTCATATACAAGGAAAAAGTAAAATGCTCCAGCTTGGTGGACCTTTAATTCAGCATATCGGTCACCATTATCACACTTTCCTTTGGTTGAGCAAGTCCATGTGAGCTTGTTGTACTGATCCCTGACAAAGGGCTGTCCAGGTTTTGGATGATTGCAGTATAAATGAGCATTATAGGGCTGTAGGGTTGGAGCCAAGGTAAAACGCAAAATCCATCCTATATATTTCAAACAGTATTTTTATAAACAATTTTGATATAGCACTGGAAATCAATGTCGTTTTTCAGTCGTTTATAATTTTAAATGAAGATATAAAGCTGGTAAAATATCTGTGTCGCTTTTCGTGAACACTGGTTCACTGGTTTTCAAAAACAAATAGCACACAACTACAAAAGGAAAACAACTACAACAACAAATAAAAGAAATGATTGTACTAAAAAAATCAAATATATCATATATTTGATTTTTAGTACAATCATTTCTTTTATTTGTTGTTGTAGTTGTTTTCTATAGATTCTATAGCTTTTTTTAATTTCTGCCACTTTTGTAAATGTTGAGGCATTTTTCCTTTGTTCACTGCAATTCTATATTCAATCTTCTCATAGTGTTTTAGGATATTTACAAAGGACCTTAGTGATGGAATTTTTCCGTGTTCTCTTGCTTTGTACAGGGATAGTTTAAATATAAGAATAACAAAATTAGTAGTATTCTTTTCGGTACCTAAAATTATATTGAAAATATTCATTTGGGGCAGAAAAATGTCGTGTTTTTCAAGCCAATTTCGAATTTCAAAATAATAATTTTTAGTCTCAAYACATTCTACAAAAAAATGATCAATAGTCTCTGGATGTGTCATACAAAAAGAACAAGAGGAGTATGGTACTAATTTAAATCGACATAGGTCGTAATTGAGGTATAGACAGTTATTTAAAATCTTATATTGGAATGTTCGAAGATAGGAATCAATTGTCGTTGTGAATGTTCTTCTATAAACGTTTTCCCATTCAAACTGGGTTGTATTGAATTGATATCGTGAGATCATCGTTTGGTTATATTTTCTTGTGATTCCACTTTATTGCTTAATATCTGTTTATAGATTTGTGATGTTTTAGTCATTAAAGAAAGTTTTTTCGACAGAATTGGATAAAATTTTGATTCTCTTTTTATAGTTTGTAATTTTTCTGAATTTATATCTCTAAAATGTTTTTTCGATTCCGCGGGTATTGCATCTATCAAACCTGCCCATTTTAAAAAGTCACTATTTTTAAGGCCAATATTTTGTGCGTGTTCCCAATTGAATTCTCCTTTATCATTACAGAGATCAGCAATTCTATTTATGTCAAGATCGGAGAAAGCTTTATAGAACATCGATTTACCATTGATTTGAATTTTTTTATTATTCCAGATGTACTGGTTT